CTAGCTAGCGGAATTTCGAGTGATCTTATTACAGCACGAAACACTACAAAAACGCATGATCGCACGGACCCGCCCAGTGCGCGTCGCTAATGATTATTAAAACGGTTTTGTTTTTACGGAAAACAAAAACAGTGTGGCGCCTCGTCTATGGGCGTATCCCTAAAATTTCTTTTTCAGATTTGCTACTCGTGAGGAGAAGCATAAGCTAGAAAACAAAAAATCAACAACATTGGATTATTTTAGAAAGTATAGTCGCTGCACTTCAATGAGAACCTTTGCAAGCATCCGTCAGTATCTCCGGCTTCGCTCTTTTTGTTGCTTAGGAAAGCAAAACGCTGCTGCGCATGGCGTTCGGATGCATTCTTATCTCGAATTTGTTATCCGGAGGAGGAGAGAATATAAGTCAAAACAACAACAGCAAAAAGAAATGCAAAACATTCAAAATTGATTTGTTAGGATTAAGCTCAGTAATAACTGAGATTCACTGAGCATTCACAGGGCACACGCTGATACAGCTCCTACATTCTCCGGGATCACTAATTCAAAAATTCTACTTCTTCTATGAGCCTCACACTGTTTCCGCTATACTGAGGAAGATAATTGTTTTTATCAGTCTGCCCATGAAAAGTGTGTAGTGAATTTCGTCCTCTTTAAAGCTTGGCTTACTGACGTTGGTGTAACTTCTCTTCCGAAACAAATCGAGATGTGAACCATTCGAAATATAGTCGCCGTTGGCCATGTCTTGGACTATACGTAGTGCACGGTGCACATCGTCTTCACGATCAATGATAATAAATATGAATTTCTGCCTGCGATGGGGCAGTGTTAACTCCGTTTTCGTTAAATGCATAATCCAGTGTGCCCGTTCGTCATTTTTGCCAGTTATGCATTCCACCTTGTTCGTTGGAACTCTGAAATACATACAGCTTAACGAATGCAAGAGAAGAGCATGTCAAAATATCAGAAGTCCCTAGAGCACGAAGATTGTAACTCGTTAAGAAGAGGGCAGGTGAAACCGAAAGTAGAGGGATGGAAGACAGATGAGGAATGAGTCCATAGAGGCCCCTAGCAAAGAGCAAAAAGGAACACGTCTTGGCTGACTGAATACATAGAGCGAGCGGCCTTGAAGCGCCGGAGTTTTCTGGAACGCCATGTGACATGGCAACGAAATTATTGAAATTTGCTTGACATGAGGCCAGAAACTGCCAGGGCGAAATCCGAGGCGTCAGGCTGAGGAATATCTTCCGAGCATCGGCAAAGTACAAAGGACCCTGAAACGGAAACCTAGCAAGTACCGCTGTCGCCGAGTTGCTCAGTTCATTGCAAAAAAAAAAAAATAATACCAAATGACTTGACCCTGACGCACCTCCCCGCCCTCCCCCTCCCCCCGGCTGTGCTTAAATAATCGGTTCAGTAAGCCAAATTCGGGATTTATCTAGCAAAAACTGCACTGCGGCAAAACTGCCTTGAATTTATTAAACGGTAAAAATTAGTATTCATCAACGTGTTAGAGTAAGTTGAGAAATCGCAAATTTGCCAGAAAATTAAAGAAAACTCAAACCAAAAGCTCGCAGGTTGTTAAATATAATAATCATCAGGTATTCCTCCGAACTTCTGTATTCCTGCTTTCCTTTCGCATTTTCTTTTTTACCTTCTCCTGTTAAATCAATGTTAGGCCAGAGCATGTTTTATTCAGCAACGGGAGGAAGTATTCACTGCCCACATAGTTTAGGAATTTCACTCACGAAGGCTATCCCCAGCCAAGGATTGCCTTTTGTCTCTAGCTGTTTGACGTTCCATCTCCCAAAGTGCTTATTTATTAGTCCTAGTACTGTTTCGAAACAACACGTAAAAAATTGCATACGTCTAAAATCCTGTTTTGTTTTTAAGCAACCCTTGAATAAGATATCTTCATCAGTCTTGCCTGCAGTTGGTTGCTATTGGTATTTGCTACTCGCGGAATACTTCTGAATGGCTCTGCCTCTCGCAGAGGACGAATACGGATGAGGTACTGACTTTTGACTTTAACATTCTAAACTGAGGACGGTTGCAAAGCTGATTAAAGTGCAAAATTTTGGAAATTTTGACCGGGATTTGAACATACCGGAAAATCTACGTCGGTGATATTTGTGGAATGGTTCCACACTTCGTGTAGAATCTTTTGGTCCCGAGCTCCAAGTGCACGTGCTCCGCATATTTAGTGCACGTGCCCCACTCCTTCAAAAACTGCCCGAATGGTCATTTACTTTCGAGCTGGTGCTAAGCAAGTTCATACTGCAAGATATCTTGGAGTTCTCGTAGGTTTGCCCATTCTCAATTACAGTAATGGGTCGGAAGTCCCAACAAAAAATGATTGTGCTAGCCTTCTTGTGCCCATTTAGTGCTATTTATTACTTCCCTGTAATTCATCCCCCTCACTGTTTGAGTGATCGTCATTCTGTTGTTGCTCTAAAAACTGAAATTTATCACTATAAAATTCATCTTGTCTTACACCACTGTCTCAGTTCTAAATGTTATTGTCAGCATCATCGTTCTTTGTGGTTGTCGTTGCCGCCATTACTAATACTCTCAAAGTCAGTGTTTAATTATCATCATGTTGATTATCACTATCAATAGTATCACAGTTACTGTCGGTAACAACGCTGTATCCATCATCACTATCATTATCACTGACATCACTATAATTGTCATCGTTAATATTTGTTTCACCAATATTATTTTTTAAGAGTTTGCGAGCAACACAAAAGCCTGCATACAAAACAGCAGTCAGGAATATCCACTAACAGCGTAGAGGTTTTGCATAACAATCCTTATTTGGAGCTGCGTCATTCCCCGACAATAATAGTTTTTTTCTTATCGTGTCTCTGAACGCGTTTTACAGTTTGTTTAATCACTCATCGATTTCCGGAACTTCCACATTCGTCACCACCACTGCCGAACACCATTCGTTCGTTGACCCATCTTTTCCATCAGTTCCTGGTTCCCGACACCCACTGTAGCAATCGAATTCACTTGCCGCTACCTCCTTTATTAATTAATTCCACAGCAGTTTAAAACACTGTCTGTTGAGGATTTCTAATTATGCTGCTATCTGTCCTTTCCAAATTCGAAATCAAGAACGCTATCGTGATGTGATAATCGCAACAGACTAGGCACTGCCGTAGCGACGCAGGCTCATTTTCGATATTTTTTCTGTTTTCACTTCTCTTGAAAATTGTCTTTTCATAACTCCAAAAGCCGTATGCTGTTTCAGTGTTAGACGGTATTTTAATTCATATTGTGTGGTAATGACCAGTTTGTTGACCCTACCAGTGTGTTTGTTTTAAAATGCCTTTGTTTAAAGAAATGGTCATGTTGCAATGTAAACAAATGTCACTGTATACCGAACAGTGTTTGCTTTTTTCTTATCTATCGAATAAACGGGCTTCAGACTAGCAACGTGAAATAGAAGAATGGAAGAATTATACCTGAATGTCGTGTGTATGAAGACATTTTATGATGCAGTCTATCTTTCATCCCTTAGCTGTATACAGAGACCGAACTGTGCATGGGGAAGGAGCAGGAGTCATCAGTACAGCCTCCTTGTTTTGAATAGTCATCTAACCAATTTGAAAGACGGATAAGCAAAAGAAAGAGATATAAGTGAAGGAGCAGGTAGAGTGAGACAGGAAGGAAAGAAGAAAAGTTAACACGCGATACCGACAATCATTACATGTAATTATTAGGATGAGCTTTTTATGAGAATAAACTGTTGTCTAGATGTTTAATTGCTGAATCAACAGGAAAAATGAATTTTTCTCAGTACTAATCTACCCTGAAGCAGAATTCTAGTTTGGCAATATCAAACTTTTTTTGCCTATAGATACTAATAAGCCGTCTAGCTCAGTTATGGAGTCTCTCTGGAAGAGTTACGTGCATAACAAAAAAATTGCGATATAATGACACCTTCTTGCACCATTTGGTCCATATCACTATCTGGATACACTCTGTGATTTACAGCGAATAGGTTTTCTAAGGTCTTATTGTGTACATTGAAAATGCATCCGCCCTCTTGGCATGAAATTTGGAAGTCTAAAAAGCAAGCCCTTTGTCCGGAGCAGATGGTGTTAAGTTGCAAGCTGGGTCCATAGATACTACTGGCGATTTCAGTAACGTTGGCACGGTTAACAATGAAGATGTCATCGACATATCAAAAGAGATGAAGATGAGTACTGGGATTTTTACGAAGGAACCGATACTCCATGACTGATAATGTGAGGTCGGCAACATCTGGACTAGCATTGCCTCCCACTGGTGCACCTTGTATTTGCTTGAAAAAGTAACTACTAAATCTTACGTATGTTTCTTGAAGAATGATTCCGGACAATTGTTAGAATAGCGGCTGTACAATATTGTTACTCTCACTTACTGGTTCTTCATGTCAGGTACTCTTTTTTTTTATGCGCTGGCACCTCATGCCCTTTGTTTCCGCAAAAATTTTTATGTGTTTTGCGCTGGTAACAGCAGCGCCAAACGCATGTTGTCACGCCCGGTCTGCGTTTTTGTGTATGTGTGTGTCTGTTCGTGTGTTTGTTTGTGTGTGTGGATGTATATGTGTCCGAATGCGATTTGTTGCGCACTTCCTATTCAGACTCGGAAGCTGAAATTTTAGAGGAGTGTTCTCCGTCCACTTGTGACTCGGCAAATTTAAATTCATTCATTATCTTCTCTGCGTGCCAAATACAATCACGAGAAAGCTTTGGCGGAAAAATTGCCGTGTCCGGGATCACAAAAGCCAAAAAGCTGGAATTTTACGCGAATGTCCGCTGCTCACGTGCTACTCCACAGATTTAAATTCAGCTTCACATACGCCTGGCCAAAACGTATGGTTGCGTGAAAATTTTGGAGGGAAATAATCTCCGGAACGAGAAAAGCTGGAGGTGGTTTAAGTTGTGTGATCCTTGTGTAGACAGTAAGCATCAGATTTCAAGATGCGTAGACAGTAAACATCAGGATCACTCAACTCAAACTTAGCGCTCATATAAGCCCAGATCTCACTTACGGTCACATGAGAGTTCTGGCACGAAAGCCATTAACTTGAAGGTTAGAAAACTAGACAGACGAAATTTTGAAAGGATGTTCCTGCCCATGTGCGACCCAAAGGTGCCAAATTCAGCGTTTGCTTGTGTTTATGTCTTACGCAACAGTGAAATTTTTAATGGGAAATTTCGCCACTTACGAGCCACACAAGATATCGATTAATTTTGCATACATCAAGGTGTAAAACAGTGAAAACTCCTAACAGCAGGAGTCAGCTGAACGGAACTGTGTAAAACGCATGATGGCACTGGATCCCTAGTGCGCGCCACTTTGTATTTTTGTGTTATCGATGATTATTCCTCTGGTTTAAGCGAACTTTGCAAGCCCTCGATCCGTTTTGCAGAATGTTTCGCTATCAGCATCAGTTCAATGGCACAATTCAGCCGCAAACTGATTTTGATGCGCAGCAAATTGCTGAGAAGTTGCATGAAGCAATGAAGGGGCTCGGATGCAACAAGGAAAGCGTGCTGCACGCACTGACCCGCATCAATAATGGGCAAAGGCAAGAGGTGTGCTTTTTTTTTCAGGTTTTTGAATGCGAGAAGAAATTGTTAATGAATAGCCGCTGAACAATTTATGCACTTAGCCGTAGCTGCACCTCAGTATCGGAACACTTGGCTTTGCCACGCTTAATTTGCAATTACATCTCCGTATTGTCACTAACACTGAATCCTTGTACCGTCTGATGGACGGCTTTGATGATTCCTAACTGCTCCTGAGAGCATTATCAGCTAAAAAATGACAGCATTTTATCGCGCTTATATGTTTTTTTATCTTTAGATAAATAATTTTCACACGTAAATTGTTAAAAATTTGATTAAAACACCTTTAAATCTGAAAGGG